GGAGAGTCAAGCTGCAATGGTTCCTTCTGAATGTAGTCTCTATTGCACTGCCACTCGGGTGGTATCCGAGTTGCACCCTATCTTGTTTTGTGGTCCACTGCACGGGGAGCAGGCTTAGACGAACGGTTTATCTTTGTCAGCTACTGCACCCGATCCCGCCTATGGTTTTCTTTACTCATTGTTTCCGTCGGGCCCAGCTAGGTAAGGAAAGAGAGGACCCATTAGGTGCAACACAAGTCACCGTCACTGTGTCCACCTTTTTGCGATGTATAGTTGACATCATCAGGAATTGCGGTCAAATTGTCAGAAGGTGAACGAAACTGTGTGGCTGTTCAGTGTTGCTATCCTTGGAAAACTATTGGTTGCGCTAAAGCCTTCCTTGCTGTATGGGTTCGACTCCCACCGAGGGCGCGATTTTTTCACAATTATCACAGTCAAATTATTTAAAACTGCAAAACCTCTAACAACTCATGAGTATTGCGTGCCTTGTATTATGGAAGAGTTTGTTGGCAATTTCCTCACTCTTCCTCTGCAGACTGGGTTTTACGACTAATAAAGCGAGTTTCCAATTTCTGTGCATGATATGAAATTTTAGTTGATCTCTTGAACCGTAGGAGGGTTCGTAGAGGATGACATCTACATAATTGGCGTGATTGGACCTCAAAGTAGCAAGGACAGCTTTAATACGGCTTATGCTCTTATCACCGGAGATACGAGGCTCCACAGAGAACCACGAGTTTAACCAGATTTGGGTTAGATTTTCGGAGAAGCTATATTTTACAGTGACCATACAGTCTTTTGACTATCGGAGCGACTGCCGAAGTAATCTAACTGTAGCTCATGAGGATTACAGAATGAAAAAAGATGCACAACAGCTAAACCGAGACGTGTTTGCGCATAGCGCCCGAAATAGTCATTCACTTGATCCACGCCTGTCTGACAATACTCTAATTTAGACTCCGTTGCAGAGGCAAAATATAGCTCAGGCGCCCAGCTGAGTCACTAAGCCTAAATACCTTCGTCTCCCTGCCTACCTGGAAAAGAAACAGTATGCCAGCGAGGCTGAAGATGTGTGCGATTGCAAAAAAGGTCTCGGTTAATATCCTGAACGCTACGAGAGATCGAAAAAGTTTGAATCTAAGCCTTTGCAGAGAATTTATCTGATCCAACTATATTGATATAAACACAGTTTTTCTTTTACTGAGTTAAAATATGCTTTGTGGTAAACTTTCCACAATTTGTATAACACACGAGAATAACGTTGTTTCTAATTTTCCAAAGGCTTTGTTCTTCAGTTTCTGGCGTGTAAGTACTGGGATGCTTCTATCTTACAATTCAGGATAGACTACTTCAAATCGTATGCTGGTGAACCGACGCGTCCACCGCGCCCTCATTTTTAACATTTTAACTTGGATCCCTGCTGTTTATTTAATTGGACACATTATTCTAACCTGATAAATCTTGCGCAGGTGGTAGCGTGGCCGCTAAGAACTATAAATACTCCGTACTCTGTGCACCTATCTCCATATTCTGCGGTTTCCTCAAATCTAGGGTTTAACACAGAATCCAAAACGTCAGGCAAATTCCAGTAATCGCATATTCGACTTCTGATCAGGGCTTTTTTAACCCCCGTCTAGCTCGCCAGGCATCTAGCTTCAGTATCTGACCTTTGACCGAACACGTCATATTCGGCCAATCTACCAGCTAGCCGATCATCAGCATTCACGCGTTTGACCTACTTGCTGTGTGGGTTTGTGACATCCGAGTTTGGTTACGTACAGTGGAATCATGTTTTGTCCTGGGGCAGATTACGAAGAAGGAAACGAAGTTTCTTACCCCCGTGGCCGCATTTCCACCGGAGATCGCAACCGACCTTCGCGATCTAAAAGACAGTCATCCTTAGAGGCCCCCTATACTATGCTTATGAAGGCTCTCATCTCCCTTTCAACTCAAAGACGCCTCCAGCATTTGATTTCTGAGAAGAACGTTGGTTATAGGAGGCCCACATAGCTTCTTATGTACCTGGAGCAGCTAGATGATGAACAAGATTTGGACGGAACCATGTTCATGCAGCTTCTCCTCCAGCAGCTGCCCTCCTCAGTGCAAGCTATTCTTGCTCCCAGCATTCTTTCTCGCCGAGACAGCTGAGTGTTTAATCGAGTACTACCAACCGTTTCTCTCGGTGAATGTTTCTACTCGGGTCGTAACGACACCTACCATCCAAAACGTCATAGGACGCCTGGAGGCCCTCACCCTTGAAATTTGCCAGCTTCGGGCCACTTCTGTCCACAACCGTCGTACTACTTCGCTTAATCGCCACCTGAGGTCTCCTGCTCCAGACCATACTACAGCTGATAATTTTTGTTGGTACTATCACAACTATCGTTTTTATGCCCACCACAGCCACTCTCCGTGTATGTACAAGGCAGCTTCGTCAGGAAACTTCCCTGCCGACCAGTAAAAGCGACGTATGTGGTCGGTTTATCCTCTCCAACTCGATTACTCCACATTTTTTACAAGGGTTTCTGTCGTAATTAGTAGATATCTTCTTGTTATTTATTTGGCCATTAAACATTTCCGTAAATTTATTGGAAGCAGATATTTTGTATTTATACAGAACACAAACCTCTTACTTATGCGCTCGCCGTTTCCTCTGACAAGTATTAACTCCAAGAAGCCTGCCATCTCGGTTTTATTTTTTAGTACACCATCGATATACAATTTCTTAAAGGCCTTTATAACCAACTAGGTGCCTGGCTTTCCCGGTCTGGAATTAATGCCATCGCCCGCCCCCCCCCCATCTAATTGGAGTGCGTGGCAAAACTGCAAACTCGGCCGACTTTCACTGAAAGCCTTGAACGTGCTAGTCTTCAGCTGGACGCCAGTCCTCCGTCCACTATACCAGGTACAGTCTTGTGTGACGTATCACGCCGTGCCTCCTGACCTGTAATGCTAATTGAGATGAGAAAATACTTTTTACCGCGTTGCACAATTTTGTTCATGCTTGGCCTGTCAGAAGGCCAAAGTCGGACTGCACAACAAAGCTCCTGTTGGCACATTCCTTGTACCCAACGCAAGTTCTGCACATGTGCATATCTATTTGTTAGGTATTTTGCCAAAATCCCGTGGCTGCAATTGTATACTTACTACGATGGACCGATTTCCGAGTTGGCCCATCGCAACTGCAATTCCAAATATAACTGCGGATTCAGTTGCTAACGCCGGCTTGGAAGACTGGAGCTCCTATTATGGCGTTCGCTCAACTAGTGCTCCCGATTAAGTCGAGCAATTTGAGTCTAGACCCTTTAATTGTTTCGCTGACCTCCTCGGATGTTCTTGCATGCGCAAGAAGTCATTGTTAACTGGTTTAGTGTAGCTTTTCCACTGTCAGCTAAAAGCATCACTTCGAGCTCATGACAACCCTTTCCACTGGAGCGAGCATCTACCTTTAGTCATGCTCGGCATCCATCCAGCACTCAAGCCCGAATTGGAGTGCTCCGGTGCCAAATTTGTTAACGGATTACTGGCGATTTTTTCGGAAATTCTCGAACTTAATCTAACTTGAATCCTACTGATTATGCGCAAAGACTGTGCCAAGCAACGGCTTACCACCAAACAACCCCATCCACGCGCTCCAGCAAGTAAGTCATACATGGACTCTAACTTGCAAATGTCTTCCTTTAGATTTCTCAGCGTAGATTGTGTTCTTCGGCCACCAATACAGCCCTACGAAGGACCATTTGGAGTACTCTTTCACACGAGAAGCATTTTAAGATTGCTGTGGCGATCACACTGACTTGGTATCAGTAGGTCGCTTAAAGGCGGCTGATACTGAGTCTCCTTCAGCCGCCCCAACAAAACAACCTCCCGCACCCGAAACAATGTCTCTTGCTGTTTCCCACACTCTGCTTACATAGTATAACCCTCGCTTTACCCTATCCCACCAAATCATCTACTTACGCGCAGTGACTATCGTGTTCGTTGACCTCATCGTTACCAACGAATACAGTATATTTACTATTTCCACATTTCCTCCTATTAACATTTCTGAACTCCGTACTCATGGGAGAGGAGTATTGTAGTGAACTAAAACAGATTTTTATTTCATTGAGCTAAAATATGTTTTGTTA